GCTGGTTGGAACCTTTATTCCACTCTGGATTCTTGTGAGTGTAGTCTTTGTTCACTTTACAATAAAAATAAATAAATAAACAGACATTTTTTTTAAACTTCAGTATTCATTGTTTTTCTGCTTTGCGAGTCATCTGTCACGGTTGCTAAGCAACAGAGCCTGCGTTAAAACCCGCTGAAGGGTAGACCTGTTCGAATTCACAGCTAAAACTCTTCCTGTCTCCTTATTTTCACGGACTTGGAAGGATCCAGTCCTGGTAGCCTGCGTCCTTGGAGGATGCAGCCCAGGAATTCGAACAGGACCGGCTGGATGTTTTTCTCTGATCCAGCAGCTGAGCTGCAGTTACAGCCTCTGGCCATTGGGTGGCAGCAGCGGAGCGCTTTAAACCTGCGCAGCTTCTGTTGGTCCGAAGAAGAGGAGCATCGCTGTCATGGCGGCCAAGGTGAAAGTTTATCTGCTCTATTTGGAAGTTTCTGCTGTTTTCTCTGAATATTTGCAATGAATCCGTGGATTAAATGGAAAATAGATCGATGAGTTAGCTTTAAACTTCCTGCTTAGCAGAGGAAGCTGTCGGTGTTTGGCTACCAGCTGATGCTAACTGAGCTGAGCGATGTTTAAACTCAATCTTTCTATTTTTAACCTTAAATGTTCAGGTTATAAACCATATAATAAGTCTAATTCAGGCATTGTCTTCTTCTAATTATTGTTTACATTCTTATTGTTGACACAATCTGACGTCAGTGAACAAATATCTTGATTTTAGATTCATTAAAGAGTCTGTTTGTTTCTGCTAAATAAATCCATCATGTTTGATTATTAAAGAAGTCAAATGTTGTTTATCTTCTTCCTCTTCTAAAGCTTTATTTTAATAGAATCTAAACAAATTTCAATATTTAACTTTTATCTGAATATTACATGTTTTTAGATTAAACGGATGTTTGTTAAATTGATCTTTACCTGTTATAGATTTATTAACTATGATAAAGTTTAACATGCTTTAGGTTGCAGATGCAGATTTTTGAAACTTATCGCATAAATGTTTAACTTTTAAATGCTTTTGTTAGAAAACTGCTGAAATTTGTCCCTTCCTAAAAAAGTGTAAAGTTATAAAACAGACATTTAAACATGTGAAATATTGTTTTCGCTGTTGGATCTAAAACATGTTTATAACATCATCTATGACTGAATCTAACGTCATTAACTCATTTTCAGCAGTTTTCCAATAATCTATAATTGCTCTTTTCTGCAACTAAGGATTATTTTACACATCAATTAATCTGTTGATAATTTTTTGATTAGTCGATTAATAATCAGATAATCAACGATTCTTTAAAGAAGATTTCCTATAAAATTAAACCAGGTGAAACTAAAAATTTTCCATTTGAGGAGTTCAGGTTAGAGCAGATTGAGACATAAAGTTTTATCTTAAATGCAAAATGTTTAAATGTTTTTCTACAATCTTGGTATAATTGCTGTTCTAAGTCAGTCTCTCTGTCAGCAGGTTTTACAGCCTTTAAACTCTTCATTAATGGATTAATAAATAGTTTCAGTAATGGATCGATGCGATTACTTGTTTGAGCCCGCCATAAAAACATCTTCTTCCCCTCTGCCATAAGACTCATGAACACCTAACTATATGTCAGACTCTATAACCTGCCCATGCCATTTACGCTGCTCTATTTGCACTACCTTGTAAGATGCTATTTTACTTTTTATATTTTATATCCATATTTTTATCTTAAGTGTATATATTAGTCTATTTTATTTCATGCCTTATACCCACAGTGTTTTAGATATTTTTATAATTTTATTTACCTATTCCATATTATATGTTTCATGTTGCACGATTGTACCATAAAAAATTACTAGTTTGTGAACTCCTTCACTAACAATGGCAATAAACCTGATTCTGATTCTGATTCAGGCTGCAGGTTGTAATTGTTGTGCAAACATTAGACAGCAGAAACTGCTGAGTCCTGCAACCTTTTAACCACAGCGACCTAGAAAACGCCACAGAGGGGAAGTTAGAGGGATGTTCCAGCTGATCACAGTTTGTTTGTTTGCTTGTTTTCTTCTTTATACGATCATTTTAAATGGAGGGAGCCGTTTCCACCCAGCAGCCTCAAACTTCAAAGGTTTTTTTTGGGAGAATCTGTGCAGTAACTTAAAGCTCATCTTTCCATCAGTGCAGGTTTTGTGTCCTAACAAACGTTGGTAAAGTCTGAGTGCAGTCTGCACCTTTATCTCATTTTAAACCTTCAGTTGAATCTTTGAAGGCTGCGGCTTTTTGAAGCATGACCATTGCTCCTGTTCTTTTCATCTTTGCTGAGTGAGTGGGAACCTCACTGAGCATGTGCAAACTGTTGCTTGTTTCTGATTGGAGAAAATGTTTGTGCCCCTCTGTCACAGCAGCCCCCAATCTGGCCCCCCTTCCTTTTCCCCTGACATTTCAAAGCAGTCGTCAGTGATTTCTGTCTTTCTGTGCCGACTGTCGCCGCATGAAGCTGAGGGGTTTAAAAATGTTTGATCTTTGTTATTCCTGTCCAGGTGGTGATGGTGGCCGTCCCAACGGTGCTGGGAATAGCCTCGGTTCGAGTGTACAGCGTGAAGGAAGCCCCCTCAGACGGGCTGGTCTCTCCAGATAAGGTCCGGCTGACCCACAGCATCACCTCAGGTGAGGACTTCTTTTTTCTGCCCAATCTTACCCTCAGTGTTCCTCTCTCTACAGCTGAACATCTACACCCCGCTGTCAGAGGCTGCTTCACCTAAGGCTGCTCCAGAGAGTCCAGGACTTATCGAGCAGAGGTTAACTACAACCAGAGAGAGCGTTCTGCCCTATGTCCAAGCTGTGAAGGTATGTTGGTTCAGCTGTTTATTTCTGCAGCAGCACATCCTGCTGAGAAACAGCAGCAAACTGCGTCTGTTTGACTGCAAACAGAAAGTCTTTTAGATGGAAAGAATACGTGTAGATGGACTCAGATAGGAGGGAGGCTCTTATCTTGCACCTGCAGCCTTGGTTCTTCAGCCTTACATCTTTTTTTTCCTCATGCTTGTGGTTAAAGCACCATCCCACAAAGCTGCAAGTGCAAATACGTTTGCAGAGCAGGAGTATGACAGGAAACGGCATTTCTGTTTTTTACAGTTAACTTCATGGCTGTAGTGTTAAAAGTGGCGAGATTTGACAGTTTGATTCTGTGAAAGAGCAGAAAAAAAACCTGACTGACTAATATCTGCCTGTTTCTATGCTGTGTTTATGCCTGTTTCTATGCTGTTTTTATGCCTGTTTCTATGCTGTTTTTATGCCTGTTTCTATGCTGTTTTTATGCCTGTTTCTATGCTTTGTGTTTATGGTGCTTTCAGCTCTTTTCTGTTTCCCATCCAGCGGGCCTGTGTCTCTGTCAAAAGGGGAAGTGTTAACCTTTACCATGCTGCAGAAGGTAGGTTACCAGCAGGTCCACAATCCTTGGATTTTACCTTAGATTACAAGTTTTACTGCACTTTTGAAATTCATCAGTTGATCAGCGTAATACATGGTGACATTAGCAAAATGCTCTATGAATAAAAAAAGAACAACAAAGGTTAGCATCAGACATATTGCTACAGTTAGGTAAATAAATCAGTAAAAAGCACCAAATGAAAGTCAAAGTTTCAGTGATAGGTAGATATTCATCTGCCTGAGCAGAAATATCAACAATGTGAGGTTGAAACGTTGGTTCTGATTTACAAGCTAAAGAATAAACCTTCAGCAGTTTCAGTCGGGTCGTCATGGTTACCATAACCAGCTCAGTGCTGCCGCCTCGTCCTCCAGATCAAGCAGGTCGGCTCGCTCCAATCAGAACCACCAGATCAGAAAAAACTGTTTAGATGGAAGCGTTGTGGATTTCATTTCATGTTGCTCCTTATTCAGAATATTTCATCCATGTTCTCATGTCTGATGGTCTGATGGTCTAACTGACCCCAGTATCTGCTGCTGCTTGTTTTGGGTCGATCCTTCAGGAGGATTTTCCTCCATTAACTGGAAAAAATGAGACGATTATAAGAAACGTTAGACTCAGTTTAAATAAGTGGAAACATTAATGAACAAATGAAACATCAGAAACTGATGGAAAGCAGATGCAGGGAGATATGATGCATGTGCATCACATGATCATAAAGCATGGCTGCTGAACGCACCACGTCTGCTCACATCGGCCAATAGAAGGAAATAAAATGCTAATATCTACCAAAATATTGACCGTCTGATCAATTAATCCCTAATCGATAGCCAACAATACCAAGTCCTGATTTCAGGCTTGTTCTGAGCTTCATTTATGACCAGCAGCTGATTATTCTGTATGAATTAGTCTTCTTTGAGTCTATTAGTGAATAGTTTTAGATCCAAACTGTTTCCTTAAACTGCCTTTTTCCTCCTAGATGTTTATTACTACATGATAGACCCTCCTCCTGGTTTCCTGCCCAGACTCGGCACCATCACCATGGCTGGCCTGCTGGGCATGTTCCTGGCACGGAAAGGTCAGCTTCACCTTCTCTGTATAAAACATCACTACTGTCATTATTGTTCACTAGTTAATTGTTATTAATTGTTATGTGGTTTAGATTAGGGGCGCCACTAACCATTATTTTGCAAATCGATTCACCTCTCGATTATTTTTTAAATTAACAGATTAATAATCATATGGGAAAAGGTTCCTTAAAGGAGATTTTTTATTAAGTGAAAGCAGGAGAAAATAAAACTTTTCCACTTGAGGAGATTGAATTGAAAGACCTGATGGTGGGAAGCTATGCTATCATCTCTGCTGCAGCATTTATCTGCTCAGATCCAGCCCTGATGAGCGCAGGTCTTTGTTCTGGCCTGATAGAAGCTCTTGGTGAAGCAGGTGGAGGCGTCTGGTCTGAACTTTGCCTGCCGGCTGAATTCTAACGCTATTTGAAGGTTCAAACACACGAGCAGCCATCTTGTTCAGCCTCAGCTGTTCGTAGCGATCAGGATGCAGCAGGAGCTGCTGAGCTCAGAGGCCAACCAGTGTAAACATGGCAGCGCAGTAGGACAGACACAGAGCTGCTGCTGGCACATCTGCTTGGTCAGAATCTACATTTTTATCCATATTGAGGAAAAGCAAGAGTTTAAAACTGAAGTTTTTGTTTTTTTTTTTTGTCATCTGCTGCTTTTTCATTTGTTTCCATAAATGGCTGAAACCAAACTTTCTGTTTCCCCTGAACAGATTTGATGGGAACAGCCCCAGATTGATTACCTGTAGAACTGAACCTGAGTGCCACACAGAACCAGTCTGGCTTTTCAGGTTCATCTGCTTCCTGCTAAATAAATAGGATTTTTTTCTCTCTTAGATTTATGGTAACAAGTTAAACCTTGGAGAGTGTGGGTTTTAGACCCTTAAAATGCTTTACATGTTGTCCAATTTCAACCACAAACCTCAATAAATGAAGTAAGGCCTTCATTTAGTAGATGAGCACAAAGTTTTAGTTCTGAAAATGATCGCTCCCAGATCTATTCAGCCCCTTTCTATCTGTTACCTTCAGCCACTGTAAACCATGGTGGTGGAAGGATCATTCTGTGGGGATGTTTTCCCCCAGAAGGAAAGAAAAGACTGGAAAGATGGATGGAGATAGAGAGGCAGGACAATCCTTCAAGGAAACAGGATTGGAAAAGGATGGAATCTAAAGATGCTTTCTGAGCTAACAGGGTTTACATCAAAGCATCTCCAGCAAAGTCAAAGTGCAGAGCTAAGCCTGGCTGAGAACAGGCTGAAAACAGGCCGAGAACAGGCTGAAAACAGGCCGAGAACAGGCTGAAAACAGGCTGAGAACAGGCCGAGAACAGGCCGAGAACAGGCTGAAAACAGGCTGAGAACAGGCCGAGAACAGGCTGAAAACAGGCTGAGAACAGGCCGAAAACAGGCCGAGAACAGGATTGGAAAAGGAAGGAATCTAAAGATGCTTTCTGAGCTAACAGGGTTTACATCAAAACATCTCCAGCAAAGTCAAAGTGCAGAGCTAAGCCTGGCTGAGAACAGGCCGAGAACAGGCCGAGAACAGGCCGAGAACAGGCTGAGAACAGGCCGAGAACAGGCTGAGAACAGGCCGAGAACAGGCTGAGAACAGGCCGATAACAGGCCGAGAAAAGGCTGAAAA